AGAAGAAGAAGCAGAAAATTCTCCCAGAATGCATTGTAGTGCAGAAGGAGAATGGTTAGTGCCAATTGGGAAGTGTATCTGCAAAGCTGGCTTCCAGCAAAAAGGAGACACGTGCGAACGTAAGTTAAAAAAACATATTTAATAATTACTTTTTTTTTTAACTGTTTTTAACAAATGCCTCTTTAATGGAAATGTTGCCTTACTTAATTCGTAGAAGCCAGAAATGAGAGTGTCTGACACTAAAGAAACAAATTCTGTTCGGGAATGGAAATCAATAATTGGATGTTGCATTTAGAAAAGCCATTAAAGTAACTGTCAAACTAAACACTAGTTTACCTTTCCTAATGCTATTACATACAAGCAGTCACATAACATTTTATAAGGGATAGGCTAAAAAAAGCTATTTAGTACTTAATGATTCTTTAAAATAACACTTGAGAAAAATGTGTCTTGCAGAGAGGGTATCATTAATAATCCAAGGATTACTTGCAGTATATTCAGTAGCTAATTTGGGAAACTGCAGCAACTTTTAAAAATATAATGTGTTTCTGATTAACATACTGAAAAGCAGCTCAGAATGTAGTATTGATAGGAAAGCTAAGGATATGTGGAGTGTTTTTTTTTTAAAAGGAAAAGGTGTACAATAAATAGTTGCTTTAAAAACTCATATCTGAAATCTTGGAATAGAACTCAGGGCTGAAAATAGGGGAACAGTAGAATAGAATAGAAAACAGGCAGCATACCTGTTTTTCCCCTTTTATTTTTTGTAGTCCTTGACATGCTGTAAAACTTTAGATGATTTCCAGAGCAGATTTTGAATTAAGACTTAGGAATTGTAAAATATATAAAGACATATTTTCTTTTTGCCTGCAAAAACGCTTCTATCAGTGGAACCAACTTATTGGATCCTTCTCTTTATCTGGAAGAAGGAGATAGAATTTGATCTGACAGATCATTTTCAGAAATTAGACATTTCCAAAGTTGTGTATAGATACTATTTGTCAAGGACTGACAAATTGTTGACTTTGTGCGGGCAACAGACACAGATATACCTTTTTAGAATAAATGTTCTGCTTTATTAGATAGATTGGTCAAGAAATACCAAACTAAATTGAATGTATAAAAATGGATTTGATTAGTGTTTCCTTGTATGAGTTTCTCTTTTTGTAAAGAGAAATTTAATTTACATTAAAACATCAATTTGATAACAACTTCTGAAAGTCACAAACAGCTGGGGTGTTGGCTTTTGAACTTCTGACAAAGGGTTATGGTTATCAGCGATGACAAATAGATGTTTCATTAGCTATTTATCATTTGGTCTGACTGGTGATGGAGGAGACAAGTAGGACATTTTCAGTGAAGATATCGGTCATGAAACATATATTTTCTCTGGCATGTAGATAGTCCTCTTTTAGTGACTACAGTTAGGATCAGCAACTTTCTAAGTGAAATTGTAACACTGCTTATGATCTTATTTCAGATTTTCTTTGTTATATAGACCATCAAATGTCATAAAATGCAAGGATTGATAATAAATTTTACTTTTTCATCACCACTGTAAATGGTGGCAAAACAAAGCAGTTGCTAAATGAGGACTTCCAGGACTGCTTCTGGTCCAGAAGCTTTTCAAGCCCAAACAAATTCATTAACATTGGGTAACAGCTAAATATTAAAAAGGATATTTCAAATATAGAAAAGTTACCTGTGCAAATTAGTTGAATGGCTGCATCTTGATTCTGCTTAAAACACTCGTATAATGCTGTGTGTTTATCTGATTTCATGATGAGACTTAGGTTTTCCCACCCAATCTTTAATCTTTTTTTTAAAACTGATTTTGCAGTGATCAAAATAATGTATAATGACACTTTAAACCTTATTGTTTAGAAAAACTTGTTAGAATTAAAAGTCAAAGCAGAAGATTGATGGAGATACATCTGTTATGATTAGAATTCAAGTAAATTGTTTATTAAATAGGGTTCTTAATTTTAGACTTCAGTGATGTTAACTGAAGCATTAAATGATAACTTGCAGTTGAGTGTCTCTCTTGTGTTCATTTTGTAAGAATACTTCTCATGCCGGCTTACTGCCAGAGAAACTGCTAAAAGAATATATTCTCTTGGAAGTGTTCCAGAATCGAGGGAAAGAGGGAGTTCTATCATTTCTGTTCAAAACCTGTTCTTGGAAAAAGTTTCAAAATGAAGTTTTATTTTACATTTATTGTGAGAAATGCGTGATTAGTAACTACCTATGTTAAAAAATGTAAGCTGACTAAAGTTTGAGGCACATATCTTTCATTAATTCCTTGGCTCTGATACTTAGGACTTTCTCAGTGATAGCATTAATGTTTAAACAGGTGGTGACAAATGGATGCTGTATAATGATAGCATTCATGGTGAAACTGGTAGTTCAAGACAATCATGGGATCAAATTTGTTATCAACCTAATCCTACTATTAATTCAGTGGAATATTTTGTTTTTGTCAGACTTCGTAAAACAACCCAAAATCAAATTATTCTGCTATTTTTTTAGCCTTTAATTGATTTGTAAGCTTTGCGTTTCATGTATAATATTTTCACTCTTGTATAAAATATTTATGGATCATGTAAAAATGAATGTTTGCACTGTAGTTCAGACTTTGACATTTTAATTTCCATATGCATTTCCCCTTATCTACATATATTTCAAAGCAGGTTTTTAAATTTGCAAAATTAATGATCTATTCCAAGAAAAAAAACCACACACCCCAAAAGCCTCATTTAACCTTCTTCTCCTTCCAAAAAGAGTAATTAATATTTAATTTTTGATGCTGTGAAATGTAATATTGTGCCTGATCCTAGATGAAGGATTACAAAGGAAAACCTTTTGTTTGTAATTTCCTTTTATGAATTAGCTAATTAAGTAAAATGAGGTCTAAAACTCAAGTACATTTCAGTAGATGATGTGTGTGTGTGTGTGTGTGTGTGTGTGTGTGTAGAATAATTGTTCAGAGAATTAATTTTGTAATACTCTTTAAATATTTATAAATTGCAGATTGCAAAATATTCTAAANAAACGATAACTGTTTGATTTCACATGAATGTAAAATTTATGACATTATAGTTAGAATATCATATTTCTTGCACATAAGATAATAGTTTAAAGGTACATTATTTTAATATGTCCCAAATTGATGCAATAGAAAACTTTCGTTGATAGAATTTTATGTATGTAGATACACATGTTGGCAAAAGCCTGCAATAAAATTTACCATGCCATACGATCAACTTGAATCCTATTGTTTTTGGAGCTGGCCAGTAGAGTTCCAGGTGATTTTTCTCTCTACCAAATGGGTTTAAATTTTAGTCCTTACAAAATACAGTCGAGACGCTATTAGAACAATTGTTAAAATAGGTATGAATACTCAACTAAGTTTTTAAACAACACTTCTTAAGAAACATAAATAAATTTTCTTATGTTACACCAATTATTTTGGACTTGGGCAATAGATTACCTCAATATTATAATGCAATCCATTGTTTAGAGAATTGCTAATGCAATGTTTAGGAAGTTCTTCCACATTAACCATACTGCTGTCTATGGAGTATGCTAATTTCATGTTTTTAACATTTTACTTTATTTTGCAGTCTTTTTGTAGGGTGAATAGATACTGTGGTCACCATATTGGTTATTCACACTAGAATTAACATTTGAAATTAGGGATGCTTAATACTTGCCACTGTTACATCTGCTCTCTGCCTATAAATTTATTCTATTAGGCATTGGATCATATCATTCCCTTCCATTTTTAAATAGTTTCTCATTCCATGCTAAAAAAAATGTAAGCTGTTAAAACATATGCTCTGGTTACTAGTATTCAGAAAAAAAAAGATGGTACATAATCTTGTACTATATTTATTGTCTAATTTTTCTCTGTTAGAAAAGTTTATCTCAGTATGGATAACTATCCCTTTATGTTCCAGTGGGAAGAAATTAGTGGACTGGATGAAAACTACACACCTATACGAACATACCAGGTATGCCAAGTCATGGAACCCAACCAAAATAATTGGCTGCGGACTAACTGGATCACGAAAGGCAATGCACAAAGGATTTTTGTAGAACTAAAATTCACTCTGAGGGATTGTAATAGCCTTCCTGGAGTCCTGGGGACATGTAAAGAAACGTTCAACTTGCATTATTATGAAACAGACTATGACAGTGGAAGGAGTATCAGAGAAAGCCAGTATGTAAAAATAGACACTATTGCGGCTGATGAAAGCTTCACCCAAGGTGACCTTGGGGAGAGGAAAATGAAACTCAATACAGAAGTGAGAGAGATTGGACCTCTGTCCAAGAAAGGATTCTACCTTGCATTTCAGGATGTAGGGGCTTGCATTGCTCTGGTTTCTGTCAAAGTGTACTATAAGAAGTGCTGGTCCATTATTGAGAACTTAGCGATTTTTCCAGACACAGTAACTGGGTCAGAGTTCTCCTCTTTAGTTGAGGTCCGAGGAACCTGTGTCAGTAATGCGGAAGAAGAAGCCGAGAACTCTCCCAGAATGCATTGTAGTGCAGAAGGAGAATGGTTAGTGCCCATTGGGAAGTGTATCTGCAAAGCTGGCTTCCAGCAAAAAGGAGACACGTGCGAACGTAAGTTAAAAAAACATATTTAATAATTACTTTTTTTTTTAACTGTTTTTAACAAATGCCTCTTTAATGGAAATGTTGCCTTACTTAATTCGTAGAAGCCAGAAATGAGAGTGTCTGACACTAAAGAAACAAATTCTGTTCGGGAATGGAAATCAATAATTGGATGTTGCATTTAGAAAAGCCATTAAAGTAACTGTCAAACTAAACACTAGTTTACCTTTCCTAATGCTATTACATACAAGCAGTCACATAACATTTTATAAGGGGTAGGCTAAAAAAAGCTATTTAGTACTTAATGATTCTTTAAAATAACACTTGAGAAAAATGTGTCTTGCAGAGAGGGTATCATTAATAATCCAAGGATTACTTGCAGTATATTCAGTAGCTAATTTGGGAAACTGCAGCAACTTTTAAAAATATAATGTGTTTCTGATTAACATACTGAAAAGCAGCTCAGAATGTAGTATTGATAGGAAAGCTAAGGATATGTGGAGTGTTGTTTTTTTTAAAGGAAAAGGTTTACAATAAATAGTTGCTTTAAAAACTCATATCTGAAATCTTGGAATAGAACTCAGGGCTGAAAATAGGGGAACAGTAGAATAGAATAGAAAACAGGCAGCATACCTGTTTTTCCCCTTTTATTTTTTGTAGTCCTTGACATGCTGTAAAACTTTAGATGATTTCCAGAGCAGATTTTGAATTAAGACTTAGGAATTGTAAAATATATAAAGACATATTTTCTTTTTGCCTGCAAAAACGCTTCTATCAGTGGAACCAACTTATTGGATCCTTCTCTTTATCTGGAAGAAGGAGATAGAATTTGATCTGACAGATCATTTTCAGAAATTAGACATTTCCAAAGTTGTGTATAGATACTATTTGTCAAGGACTGACAAATTGTTGACTTTGTGCGGGCAACAGACACAGATATACCTTTTTAGAATAAATGTTCTGCTTTATTAGATAGATTGGTCAAGAAATACCAAACTAAATTGAATGTATAAAAATGGATTTGATTAGTGTTTCCTTGTATGAGTTTCTCTTTTTGTAAAGAGAAATTTAATTTACATTAAAACATCAATTTGATAACAACTTCTGAAAGTCACAAACAGCTGGGGTGTTGGCTTTTGAACTTCTGACAAAGGGTTATGGTTATCAGCGATGACAAATAGATGTTTCATTAGCTATTTATCATTTGGTCTGACTGGTGATGGAGGAGACAAGTAGGACATTTTCAGTGAAGATATCGGTCATGAAACATATATTTTCTCTGGCATGTAGATAGTCCTCTTTTAGTGACTACAGTTAGGATCAGCAACTTTCTAAGTGAAATTGTAACACTGCTTATGATCTTATTTCAGATTTTCTTTGTTATATAGACCATCAAATGTCATAAAATGCAAGGATTGATAATAAATTTTACTTTTTCATCACCACTGTAAATGGTGGCAAAACAAAGCAGTTGCTAAATGAGGACTTCCAGGACTGCTTCTGGTCCAGAAGCTTTTCAAGCCCAAACAAATTCATTAACATTGGGTAACAGCTAAATATTAAAAAGGATATTTCAAATATAGAAAAGTTACCTGTGCAAATTAGTTGAATGGCTGCATCTTGATTCTGCTTAAAACACTTGTATAATGCTGTGTGTTTATCTGAATTCATGATGAGACTTAGGTTTTCCCACCCAATCTTTAATCTTTTTTTTAAAACTGATTTTGCAGTGATCAAAATAATGTATAATGACACTTTAAACCTTATTGTTTAGAAAAACTTGTTAGAATTAAAAGTCAAAGCAGAAGATTGATGGAGATACATCTGTTATGATTAGAATTCAAGTAAATTGTTTATTAAATAGGGTTCTTAATTTTAGACTTCAGTGATGTTAACTGAAGCATTAAATGATAACTTGCAGTTGAGTGTCTCTCTTGTGTTCATTTTGTAAGAATACTTCTCATGCCGGCTTACTGCCAGAGAAACTGCTAAAAGAATATATTCTCTTGGAAGTGTTCCAGAATCGAGGGAAAGAGGGAGTTCTATCATTTCTGTTCAAAACCTGTTCTTGGAAAAAGTTTCAAAATGAAGTTTTATTTTACATTTATTGTGAGAAATGCGTGATTAGTAACTACCTATGTTAAAAAATGTAAGCTGACTAAAGTTTGAGGCACATATCTTTCATTAATTCCTTGGCTCTGATACTTAGGACTTTCTCAGTGATAGCATTAATGTTTAAACAGGTGGTGACAAATGGATGCTGTATAATGATAGCATTCATGGTGAAACTGGTAGTTCAAGACAATCATGGGATCAAATTTGTTATCAACCTAATCCTACTATTAATTCAGTGGAATATTTTGTTTTTGTCAGACTTCGTAAAACAACCCAAAATCAAATTATTCTGCTATTTTTTTAGCCTTTAATTGATTTGTAAGCTTTGCGTTTCATGTATAATATTTTCACTCTTGTATAAAATATTTATGGATCATGTAAAAATGAATGTTTGCACTGTAGTTCAGACTTTGACATTTTAATTTCCATATGCATTTCCCCTTATCTACATATATTTCAAAGCAGGTTTTTAAATTTGCAAAATTAATGATCTATTCCAAGAAAAAAAACCACACACCCCAAAAGCCTCATTTAACCTTCTTCTCCTTCCAAAAAGAGTAATTAATATTTAATTTTTGATGCTGTGAAATGTAATATTGTGCCTGATCCTAGATGAAGGATTACAAAGGAAAACCTTTTGTTTGTAATTTCCTTTTATGAATTAGCTAATTAAGTAAAATGAGGTCTAAAACTCAAGTACATTTCAGTAGATGATGTGTGTGTGTGTGTGTGTGTGTGTGTGTGTGTAGAATAATTGTTCAGAGAATTAATTTTGTAATACTCTTTAAATATTTATAAATTGCAGATTGCAAAATATTCTAAANCCAAGGTTCAATTAGCTATTTCTTCTTCACATTTTGGACAAATTACTTTTACTAAGATTGAGAGTCATTTTACTTATGAACTACTAATCTTATTACTGTTTATTTCTTCCTTCAGGAAAAAAAATAGCTGGACTATATTCAGTTATGTTCCTGTAATGACAGAACATTCTGTCATTCTGGTGGGCATCAGGTGGGGCGGGAGTGAGAGAGTGCAAAAGATAGTTTTGTTTCATCAACTCCATTTATGTAAAGTTATACATGTGTCTATTTAAATGGAAATAATATGGACCAGGAAGCTGAATGTGTCAATTGTATGACACATGAATCCCCATGAATCAATAATTTAGATATTGGCTAATAAATAAAATGGATAAATAAAGAATAAAACAATTGAATTAAAAATGGCTGTCCTTGTGATTAAGAGTTTATGTGAAAATTTACTGTTTAGTTTTTTTCCCCTAAGAGGAAAAACAAAATTACATTAAAAAAAAAGAAACGATAACTGTTTGATTTCACATGAATGTAAAATTTATGACATTATAGTTAGAATATCATATTTCTTGCACATAAGATAATAGTTTAAAGGTACATTATTTTAATATGTCCCAAATTGATGCAATAGAAAACTTTCGTTGATAGAATTTTATGTATGTAGATACACATGTTGGCAAAAGCCTGCAATAAAATTTACCATGCCATACGATCAACTTGAATCCTATTGTTTTTGGAGCTGGCCAGTAGAGTTCCAGGTGATTTTTCTCTCTACCAAATGGGTTTAAATTTTAGTCCTTACAAAATACAGTCGAGACGCTATTAGAACAATTGTTAAAATAGGTATGAATACTCAACTAAGTTTTTAAACAACACTTCTTAAGAAACATAAATAAATTTTCTTATGTTACACCAATTATTTTGGACTTGGGCAATAGATTACCTCAATATTATAATGCAATCCATTGTTTAGAGAATTGCTAATGCAATGTTTAGGAAGTTCTTCCACATTAACCATACTGCTGTCTATGGAGTATGCTAATTTCATGTTTTTAACATTTTACTTTATTTTGCAGTCTTTTTGTAGGGTGAATAGATACTGTGGTCACCATATTGGTTATTCACACTAGAATTAACATTTGAAATTAGGGATGCTTAATACTTGCCACTGTTACATCTGCTCTCTGCCTATAAATTTATTCTATTAGGCATTGGATCATATCATTCCCTTCCATTTTTAAATAGTTTCTCATTCCATGCTAAAAAAAATGTAAGCTGTTAAAACATATGCTCTGGTTACTAGTATTCAGAAAAAAAAAGATGGTACATAATCTTGTACTATATTTATTGTCTAATTTTTCTCTGTTAGAAAAGTTTATCTCAGTATGGATAACTATCCCTTTATGTTCCAGTGGGAAGAAATTAGTGGACTGGATGAAAACTACACACCTATACGAACATACCAGGTATGCCAAGTCATGGAACCCAACCAAAATAATTGGCTGCGGACTAACTGGATCACGAAAGGCAATGCACAAAGGATTTTTGTAGAACTAAAATTCACTCTGAGGGATTGTAATAGCCTTCCTGGAGTCCTGGGGACATGTAAAGAAACGTTCAACTTGCATTATTATGAAACAGACTATGACAGTGGAAGGAGTATCAGAGAAAGCCAGTATGTAAAAATAGACACTATTGCGGCTGATGAAAGCTTCACCCAAGGTGACCTTGGGGAGAGGAAAATGAAACTCAATACAGAAGTGAGAGAGATTGGACCTCTGTCCAAGAAAGGATTCTACCTTGCATTTCAGGATGTAGGGGCTTGCATTGCTCTGGTTTCTGTCAAAGTGTACTATAAGAAGTGCTGGTCCATTATTGAGAACTTAGCGATTTTTCCAGACACAGTAACTGGGTCAGAGTTCTCCTCTTTAGTTGAGGTCCGAGGAACCTGTGTCAGTAATGCGGAAGAAGAAGCCGAGAACTCTCCCAGAATGCATTGTAGTGCAGAAGGAGAATGGTTAGTGCCCATTGGGAAGTGTATCTGCAAAGCTGGCTTCCAGCAAAAAGGAGACACGTGCG